CAACTTGGCCAACATGATGGAGCCCCATCCCTACAAAAATATAAAAATTAGCCCAACATGGGGGCATGCGCCTGTGATCCCAGCTACTAGGAAGGCTGAGGTGTGAGAATCGCTTGAACCCAGGAGGTGGAGGTTGCAATGAGCAACGACCGCACCACTGCACCACTGCACTTCAGCCTCGGTGACAGGGTGACACTGTGTCCCCAAAACAAACAAACAAAAAAATAGAATCAAGAGGCCAAGCATGATGGCCCACGCCTATAATCCCAGCATTTTGGGAGGACAAGGTAGGAGGACTGCTTGAGCTTAGGAGTTCAAGAACAGTCTGGGGAACATAGGGAGACTGACTCTTTCTTTTTTTTTTTGAGATAGGGTCTCACTGTTGTTGCCCAGGCTAGGGTGCAATGGCATATTCACAGCTCACTATAGCCTGGACCTCCCCTGACTCATGTGATCTTCCTACTTCAGCCACCCAAGTAGGTGGGACAAAAGATGCTCAGCTCAACACTCGGCTAATTTTTGTATTTCTTGTAGAGATAGGATTTCATCATGTTGCCCAGCCTGGGTCTTGAACTCCTGTGTTCGGGCAATCTGTCACCTCAGCCTCCCAAAGTGCTGGGATTATATGGCATGAACCACTGCACCGGGCCGGGGTAATCTTGTCTCTACAAAAAAATTAGCCAGGCATGGTGGTACACGCTTGTAGTCCCAGCCACTCAGGAGGCTGAGGCTGGAAGATGCTTGAACCGGAGAGATCAAGGCTGCAGTGAGCCAAGATCACACCACTTCACTCCAGCCTAGGTGACAAAGCGAGACCCTGTCTCAAAAATAAAAGGCAGAAACAAGAATTAGGAAGACAATTAAGGGTTAATATTGAAAACAAAAACATTTATTTTCAGTTCCAAGCAATCAATGCTTCATTGATCTAGAATTGATGAACACTCAATTTCAACAACAATGCAGTATCTTTTTACTTTTTCTTTTTTTTTTTTTTTTTTGAGATGTTCTCCTGCCTCAGCCTCTGGAGTAGCTGGGATTACAGGCATGTGCCACCACACCCAGATTATTTTTTGTATTTTTAGTAGAGATGGGGTTTCTCCATGTTGGTCAGGCTGGTCTCAAACTCCTGAACTCAGGTGATCTGCTGGCCTCGGCCTTCCAAAGTGCTGGGATTACAGGCGTAAGCCATGGCACCCAGCTTTGCTTCCCTCTTAATGTGTTAATAGTTGTGTCTAAAAAAATACACAATTATTAAAAAAGTGCCATTTCTGATTTCTTTAGTATTATCTGTAACCTTTGGAAACTCATATGAAACTACAAAATTAGCAAATGTCTTGAAATCTGTATATAAAACATAAATTACCTCTAATTTCAAACTCATTTATTAGTGTACCACTCAATCTTTCAGAAAAAACTGGAAAAAAAAAGAAGCGGCTCCAAAGATAGTCTTATAGCATTCTTTAAAAAAGGAAACTGTTCCTTTTAACCTTACACCTACCCTACACCCCAGTTTCAAAACGTCGTTTAACTAACTGTCTCGGTCATGGACATTTCTAAGATGAGATTTTATATTTTGCTCCATAGCTTCTGGTTATCAGAAAACCCATGCTTTCCTTTATTGAAGGAGTTTAGTTCAGCTGATGTTGGCGTATCCTTCCAATATCTTTCATCTTTATCTTTGCTTCTGAAGGCATTTCCTCTGGTTCACGATCTTCATCTTCACTAAAAGCTGCTGCTACTGAAAGGTTTTGGAGCAGGAGATGGAACAGTTTCTTTAGGCTTACTTGATCCAAGTTTGATGGATATGGCTGATGCTTTCATTGCCGTCTGACTACCTATGGCAAATTCAAACTTGGAGATCTTTGTAGGCTTTGTTGGGAGGTCTGCAGCTTCTTCTTCAGCTGATGGCTTCTCAGCGCTGTGACTGGAACTTTCTCCTCCATTACTGGAAGAAACACCCTTAGTTTTCACAGGTTTTTCTGCTTCTTCTTCAGGTCCTCTGGCGACTCCAGCTCAATGCAACTTTTTAGGCTTCTTCTCTCCTGCCTTCCTGTCCGCCATTTTCCCCTGCCACCCACTTATCAAATTTTTGATTTCACCTAATCAAATGCTAAAACAATCCACTCAGAACTCAAGGTAAAAAGATCTTCATGTCTACTTCATTTTTTTATTTTAGTTTTTCTAGATGGAGTCTTTCTCTGTCGCCCAGGCTCGAGTGCAGTAGTGTGATCTCGGCTCACTGCAACCTCTGTCTCTCAGGTTTAAGCAATTCTCCTGCCTCAGCCTCCCAAGTAGCTGGGACCACAGGCATGTGCCACCACACCTGGTTAATTTTTGCATATTTAGTAGAGATGAGTTTCCTCATGTTAGCCAGGCTGGTCTCAAACTCCTGATCTCAGGTTATCCGCCTGCCTCAGCCTCCCAAAATGCTGGGATTACAAGCATGAAACATTGCGTCTGGCCCAGGTCTACCTTAAAAGAAAGAAAATCTGGCTGGAAGCAGTGGGTCACGCCTATAATCCTAACACTTTGGGAGGCCAAAATGAGCAGATCACCTGAGGTCACAAGTTTGAGACCAGCCTGGTCAACATGGCGAAACCTTGACTCTACTAAAAATACAAAAATTAGCTGGGTGTGGTGGTGCATGCCTGTAGTCCCAGCCACTTGGGATTCTGAAGCACAAGCATGTCCTGAACCCAGGAGGTAGAGGTTACAGAAAGCTGGAAACACGCCACTGCACTGCACCCTGGGTAACAGGGTAAGACTCACGTCTCAAAAAAAAAAAGGAAGAAAAAGGAAATCTTGATCATAAAAATATCACAAAGCTGTATCTGCTACTTGATAGAATGATTCAAGTGAGCCCATAATGTAGGAAAGGTTCCCATGGGAGTGGAAGATCAGAGCCATTACAAATTGCTATCAAAACAGAATCAAGGCTGAGCACTGTGGCTCTTGCCTGTAATCCCAGTGCTATGGGAGGTCAAGGTGGGCGGATCACTTGAGGTAGGGAGTTCGAGAGCAGCCTGCCCAATGTAGTGAAACCCTGTCTCCAANAAAGAAAATGAGATAAAATTTTATAAAATTCTCTTAAGTGTACAGTTCATTGACTTCTAGTATATCCACAAGGTTGTGCAACTGTCCCCACAATCTAATTCTAGAACATTTCCATCATATCCAAAAGAAAGCCTGTGCTGTTAGCAGGCACTCCCCATTTGTCTCTTCCTACAGCTCTGACAACCATTAATCTGCTTTCTGTGTCTATGGACTGGTCTATTCTGGGTACTTCACAGATACCTTGGCATTCACTTTTATCCCAATCTAATATATTTTAATCAAATATAGGAATGATTCACACTTACATCTTCAGATTTCAGCACTTCAGCTCTTTCCACATACACTAACTGGCAAACGTCATCTTCTATTGAGTTGAACTGGCGGCCATTGCATGCCATATAAAAACTATCCGCATCAGCCTGTGTACACCAAGGGGGAAAAGGAAAAATTAAGGCAGGTACCCTGAAAATCTGCTTTACATTCAATATGCATGGCTTTATTCATTCTCATCAGCTTTTAAAATTTATACTTAGCAGACAAAGCAACACCAAAAGTTGCATCTACTAAAGTTGATTGCTAGGGTAATCACGCTCTGTAGGTCAATATCCTATGTCTACAGTGTTTTCTGGGCTACGACAAAGTTTTTTCTTGAACTGGCAGAAGGTATTTAAGTGCAGTAAGCTGAAAGCTGGTACAATTTCAATATTCAACCAGCAACAGTCAACATTTCCCTTTACAGCAGTTTTTTTCCCCTCTAGTCATCACTTGTGCAGCTGAAAGTAAACAATCATTTCTGCAAAGCCTGGAACCAAATCATAACTGATACTTGTTATGATGAAATTACTCTTCCATCAGCATTGGGCTGGGCGAGGTGGCTCATGCCTATAATCCCAGTACTTTGGGAGGCCAAGGCTGGTGGATCACCTGAGGTCGGGAGTTCAAGACTAGCCTGCCCAACATGGAGAAACCCTGTCTCTACTAAAAATAAAAAATTAGCCCAGTGTGGTGGCCCATGCCTGTAATCCCAGCTACTTGGGAGGCTGAGGCAGGAGAATCGCTCAAATCCAGGAGGCGGAGGTTGTGGGAGCCCAAGATCGTGCCACTGCACTCAAGATCGCCCAGCCTGGGCAACAAGAATGAAACACTGTCTCAAAAAAAAAAAAAAAAGAAAAGAAAATGTCAGTATTTATTATTTACGTTAGAAAAAAAATAAAAGACCAGGGGAACTGGTATGAGATGAAAAACCAACTACTCTTTAATAAACCGAATAATAATAATACATCATAGTTAGAGCCCATGTAATGGATCCCATCAGGAGGTCTTAAACTGCCACCTAGCGTCCAATATCAAAAGCAAAGCTCTTGGTCAATTTGAAGGTCAAGAGGCCCATGAGCCAGCCTTTAAATCCCAGCACTTTGGGAGGTCCAGGCAGGTGAATCACCTGAGGTCAGAAATTCCAGAACAGCCTGGCCAACACGGTCTCTACTTAAAATACAAAAATTAGCTGGGCATGGTGGCAGGCGCCTGTAATCCTAGCTACTCGGTGGGGAGGGAAAAAAAAAAAACCTAACAGTCTCATTCCCTTGCAGTAGAAAAATGGGTGAAATGCAGAGAGCTGTTTCTCTCAAGGCAAAGCTGCAAAGGCACATGTGCCTCTATGAAATGGTCGCAGATAAATGGAACCTTCTTGTCTAGTCTCAGCAGAAAGCAACAAAAGAGATGATTAAAGATTTTGTTTGTTTGTTTAGATGGAGTCTCGCACTGTTGCCTGGGCTGGAGTGCAATGTGCTCGGCTCACTGCAACCTCTCCCTCCCGGGTTCAAGCTATTCTCCTGCCTCAGCCTCCTGAGTAACTGAAACTACAGGCTCTCGCCACCATGCCTGGCTAATTTTTTGTATTTTTAGTAGAGATGGGGTTTCATTATGTTGGCCAGGCTGGTCTCGAACTCCTGACCTTGTGATTCACCCCCTCAACCTCCCAAAGTGCTGGGATTACAGGTGTGAGCCACTGCACCTGATGATTCCAGTTTTTAAACTCAGCCAATTTTTTGAGGCAAGCAGGGAGGCCAAGGCTTCTCTGGATTTAATTCCCACCACACGGGCATTAGCCCAAAGAAATGAAGTTGTATGCTTTGGCCCTACCAGCATCGACAGGCTGCTTCTGGGAATTCTGCAAAAGGAAATGCTGCATCATCAACCTTAAGGAAGCTTCAGATTCAAGGCTATGACAGGCAAATACAGTCCTGCCTGTCCATCCTCACAGGGTTCTGAATCTCGCAGACACTGTAAGCTACTCAGTAGCTTTTAATTACCCTCCAATGAAATAATTGTGGATTCTTGATTACTTATGCTTTCTTCCTTTTTTGAGATGGAGTCTCGCGCTATTGCCCAGGCTGGAGTGCAATGGCGCAATCTTGGCTCAGTGCAACCTCTGCCTCCAGGGTTCAAGAGATTCTCCTGTCTCAGCCTCCCGATTAAGTGGGATTACAGGCACATGCCCCCACACTCTGCTAATTTTCTGTATTTTAGTAGAGACAGGGTATCACTGAGTTGCCCAGGCTGGTCTCAAAACTCCTGAGCTCAGGCAATCCACCAGCATCAGTTTCCCAAAGTGCTAGGATTATAGGTGTGAGCCTGGCTTTTTTTTTTTTTT